TATCCTGTCACAGGCTTCGGAATACAGCAGAATATGCAGAATACAGAATACATGGCTTCAGAACTTGGTTGAAGAGATCCCTTGACCATTTTTGTTCTTCCAGGTGAAAGCACTTGGTTGAAAGACTCCGGTATTTTCTGCAAGAAGAAATGTCCAGATTGGTCAAGTGTTTTGGTTCATCTAAGCAGAGCCTTTTCTGGCCACAATTACATTCCCTAGAATCATCGTGGCTGCATGGATGGCACCACCTGTTCGGCATGAGGATTTCATGGTGTTCCTTTCGGGCCATACCATCCACATAACCATGATGATTCCAGGGAGTGGGTTTATATATATAATATATATACACCCCCTGGAATGGTCACCTAAATTTGTATATATATATATAAATTAGGTGTTGATGTTTGTTTGACCTGGCAACATTCGCGGTGGCATGGTGAACCCAGCATCGAGAACGTCGTCTCCACATTTTGTGCGACTTGGACCCGGCGAGGACGAGGACGGGTAGCACTCGTGGTGTACCCCCTTCGGTTTGTGTGCCCTGTTTCATGGCGAATGGGAGCCGAGGCTTGTAATTGGAGCATTTGTCGCTTGGCTTCAAGCTTCGGGGCAAAACGAAGTGGAATAGAATGACTGGTCCACCATCAGAGAAGGACAATTGCACTTTATGTACCCTTCCACGTCCTCAGTAGCCGTTACAGCACTAGTCCCTTACCTTCCAATAGTCATGGATCATTTCACAGCACTAGATTGCATATATAATCTCAGCACGCTTGCAAAAAAAAGAACATATTTAGTTCTTGTCACCATTAGATTGGTGTGTGTTTTAGTAGGAATCTCACCCAACCGGGTTTAAGTCTATGTTTCTTCTTCGGGGTTGTTGCCCGGGGGTCGGTCTTCCTATTTGAGCTACACATCTGAGGCCATTTTCTCCACCTCCTCGAACCTGGTGGCTCAGAGTCTCCTTCTGGAACGAGGCGCCATCGGCGCCAGGCGAACTAAGAAGCCGGTTTTCTAAGAAGATTCGTTGGCTATTGTTGGCTATTATAAGGCTAAGTTTCTCCGCAGGCAAAATCGAAAAGGGCTTCCAAACGTGTGAGACTTTTGGAGATTGGACGTCATGGAGAACTCACCTTAGTGAGATGGAAAACTGCTTGAACTGAAGGCAGAACTCACCTTTTCCCAGGTCATATTAGGCATGTCAGTCTTTTTTCTGAGAGACCACTGCATAAGAGTGAGGACTGACTTCATGTCAGGTTTTGCCCTCCTCTTCCCAGTGATCCCCTCTTCAGATGACTCGTCGTCGGAAAATCCAGCTGCCACGAGTCCTCTCATCCTTCCTTTGAGACCCTGGCCTCGGCCTGGTCGCAGCGAAGGTTTGGAACCTTTTGGGAACTTTGAAATCTCCCCCTTGTCCATCACCTGCGGCTTGGCGCCTGGGCGGAAGAAAACGGCATGCCCACGGGACGTTCTTTTTTCAAAGGACAGCCGGCGAGGAAGCGCACGGGGCCAGAAAGGCTCCGGTGGAGCAGAGGTTGTTTGGAGGACAATACTAGCATGGGTGTGCATTTGAACAATTATGATTTTTAGCCAAATTGTTTGAGTCCTGCTTATTCTCCCAGAGGTTTAGGGAGCCTCCCTGCTTTAATTGATGCACGTCCTATTACAATTATTATGTGTATCCAAAGCATCATATGCGAAGCTGACCCGGCAATATCCAGTTTTGATGTCACATACTGGTAGCTTTAATGCCAGTTGGCATGATGTTATTGCCAGACTGAATGAATCGTTCAACCAGGCCCAAGGAATACCCCTATATACTACTATATACGGTAACCGCAATCAAAGCGTGCTACTGTATGTAGCTAAGCTTCCCATTGAAATGTTAAATAACATTTGCATGTTGATTGACATAGTCGATGCAACATCGTGCAGGAAAACTGCACCATACGCCAGGACCAGGATGCAAACAGGTCTAACAGTTTAAGGTTGAATGTGGACACCCGACAAAAAACACCCAACCTGCACTGGGCCCCTCGGAAAGACAAACCTATCCCTCACTTGAAAGAGGGTCTAGAAGAATGAAACCTGGCGCAGGTGCACCTTCACCTACCTATAGGAAAAGTATGGAACAGTTGGATCATTTGCCCAATCCTTTTTGGGGGGATTGGCAACACCCCACTCCAATCCAACCAGCAGAAAGTTCGGTTCACCTGTCCTTTTCATCCGCGCAAAAACGGCGCCAAAGCGCGAAAATCCGCCTCAGGCGACCTTGCTCTACCTGGCGGTCGCCGTGCCGATGCCCGGTGCTGCGAGTGGGAGGGCAAGAGGAGGGGAATTTGGCCTTGAGAAGATCACACTGGCAGATTTGTATGTTGGTTTTTGTTCACGTAAACGAGGTGCTTGGGAGAGTCGAGTCTTAGACAATAGAGTTCAAGAACTCATCAACCAGCTGGTTGCCTGGAAGGTCCCCAAGCAATCTATAATTGGTGTAGGGGTTGAAGGGGTGCTCGTTTTCACCAGCCCTTGGCAGTGCTGGCCGTTGCGCTTCTAGCTCGATCCGGCCTCACTTTTGGGGGGAAAGGTCTGTATCAACCATCATCATCAATCTGTTACTGCATAGTACAAAACAGTTCCTGTTAATTACTGTTACTGACTAGTTGTCTGTGGGTACAAAAACGTACGCTGATAAGATTGATATTTGAAAGATCAATCTGTTGCTGGTAATGGGACATACCCTTACAGAGCTCCCCTAAGAATCGGGGCCAACCCAACGGAAAGGGTGTTTTTGTTTTTTTGTTTTTCGGGACCGTGTTGTCCCCCGGTCAGTGTCCAGTGTCGTGTGATTGGAGGGTCAAGGGTTCTTGGGGTGAAGATGTGATTTTTCCAGGAATGACACATGATTTATGCTTCTCGCACGGGCAAAAGGAACACATTCATGATTCATTCCTAGGTATCCTTTCTTCCCCTACCTTCCTGTGATATGGCCAGCCGATCCAAGGACTTTGCTCTACATCGAAGCCTCCGAGAGCCCCACGCCCTCCTTGTCCCCGAAGGCAATGCCGTCGCCTCGACCATGGTTCAGCAGTCCATGTGCTCGTCGGACGACTTAGATCCGGACCCAACCATTGGGGTCTTGATCATTCTGGAGCAAGACACCCCGTCGCAGTAGTATTGTGACCCTAATATGACCTAAGCAACCATGAGTATAGATGTTCATGATTGATGGAGCAGGGAGCCTACTGTGGCCCAGCCGAGTCAAGACGAAGCCAGGCCACTGCTTCGACGAAGCTCTTCCTCGCCAACAAGCTCTTTCTGGCAAACATCCAAATCACTGGCACCCTTCTGCAGGGGAAGCAGGGGCCCCAGGGCGGCCATGAACCCATTTGCTAAAGGAAGCATGGCATTCAAGACACCACCAGGCATCAGGCATGTACAAATCTAGGTAAACAGTGGGATGTCTGAAATGTCAGGTCAGGGGGTGGCAGGATGTGTTTCTTCAAGAGTGGTGATAGGCGGTTCGAGCTTGCTACTTTTGTGCTCACACGTTCTGGATCTATGAAGAATGACAATTCAAATTCAATGTTTCGACTATCACGTGTGGGCATGTTTGGAGTGCGTAGATGTTGGAGTTGGGGGCGAACTGACCCACTCAGTGTCTTAGATGACATCACATCCCCATTCTTCCTAAGATGGTTGGGTTGTAAGGACCCAGCCCTTCGCCTGACATTCGAATGGTGGGTTCTGATTTGAGGATGGACCAGAAACTGAAGCCACCTGTCTCCCCAAGAAAATGGAAGACTGGCGGGCCACTGTGGTTCTCAAGACGTTTAAATGCCTAAAGGTTCTGTTTCCAAATGTGTAGTGGATCTCAGAAAGTGTCATTTGGAGCCAGTGCTAACTCTGGTTTTTGTTTGACTCGAACCGCTGGCCGCTTTGTTGGAAGCCTCAAACCACCACAAGTTCTGCAGCTGTTCCTACCTAAAGATCCTGCTCCAGTGTTTCCTTTCATCCAACGGGGTCGCCCAATGTCGCCCAAGAGGGTGTTCCTGTTTTCTCATCATCGGAGTCGCTCAATGTGAGTCGTTCAAGGTCGCTTGATAAGGAGGTCAGTGAAGCGTATCACATTGCGGAGGAATTTCCTGCGTCTCCGACGGACGAGTCTCCAGGAGACGTGAGATTTCTGTGAGGAATCTGAGGCGCACGTACGTAGGTAATTGATTGTGTGGACCTGGAAACATGCATTCGCAAGACGGTCAAAAAGAGCTGGTTAAAGGGGTTCTTGATGTTCTTTGATTTTCTTTGCAGCCAAGAATGGATTCGTATGGATTCTTTGCACCATCTCCACTCCAGAACCCAACGATCTCCATCCATTCCCGCCTCCAGCTCGCTCCAGCTCATCGCTCGAATGAAGACGACGCTCAGGTCCCTGGCGGAGTCGGGGCTCTTGACCCATGTGGGCAAAGTCGCCAGCATCGTCCGCGTGGAGCGCATGGGCGAGGAGGCCGAGCTTGGACGGTGAACCGCGGACTGATGGACTGGGTTCGGTGGATGGCGATGGCGCCGGAGTGCCATCGGAAAAGTTGGACCCTGAGAAAATGAGGGATCAGGAAATTCCACGTCGACTCTATACATTTATAGTCAAGGACGGGTGGTAGGCAGAAACTTTTCTGCTTACTGCACCCCTGAAATGGTGGATTTTGGCATTTTTGGGACTGGTACAAACATTTACATACCAGGATTCTCACTGCCAGGACACCGGTTGGGCTGTTTGGAGAATGTAGTGTAATTTTGATTTGTGCTGGTGGACATGATTGAATCTCCGTCAGATTGACTTTTGGAGATTCAGTCTGAGATCGCATCTGCTGACACGAACTCCTATCCTCCAGACACGGTAGCTGGATTCGTTCGTGGCCGGACCACAGCTGTAGCTGTTCAGTGGAGATCGGATCGCGCGATCGAGACCCGGAGAGCTCACAAGCTCGAGACCCGGTGTCGCCATGATCTTCGGCGTGGGCGACCTACTGATGAAGGCCGTGAAAGTGACGTGGCTCAACGTGCGATGGGCCCGCGGGGTGGGGCCAGGTGGTTTCGCAGATTCCTCAGGGGAGTTGCGTGAGGACCTCGCAGGGTTGAAGCAAAACCGGACATCGCACGGCTTGGTTCAGCGGGATCATACGCTGCAGGAGTCATTCATTTTCGTCATGGGGATCGAGGAAAGGAACCCTAAACTCGATCCCGAAGGGTGTCCTGGACGTCCCGAAGGGCAGCATGTGATGTTCAAGCAACGATGAAAGGAAGGGAACCACAGCCTGTCATCCACAAAGCACCGGACGGAATATAGATACTGACTGACATTCTAATATTCATGACGTTCAGTATACCACCTCTTTGGTCTTCAAAGTCTTCAGATTTCATGGTCATCCGTACCACTAGTACGGCCACTACTACCATCCATCCATCCATCCATCCATCCATCCATCCATCCATCCATCCA